ATATATTTTTGTATATATGTATAGGTAGTGAGAATATAGAGAAGAGTTGGGGTATGAGTATAAATAAAGAAAGAAAGAAAGAAGCAACAGCAATAAATCAATCATTATTAACTCTTGGTCGTTGTTTTAATGCATTATTAGATAAACATTTCTATGTTCCTTTTAGGGACTCTAAATTAACCAGATTATTACAAGTATGTTTCTTTTTTTTATTTATATATTATATATATATATATATATATTATTATTATTAGGGTTTATACAGGGGGTTATTGGGGTTTATAAGGGTTTATGGGGGTTTTTTACGGTTTATTAGGGTTTATAAGGGTTTATTAGGGTTTATTAGGGTTTATTAGGGTTTATTAGGGTTTATTAGGGTTTATAAGGGTTTAAGGGGATTTTAAAGGGTTTAAAAGGGTTGAGAAGGGTTTGAGGGTTTAGGGTTTGAGGGTTTAGGGTTTGAGGTTTTAGGGTTTGAGGGTTTAGGGTTTAGGGTTTATGTGTTATAGGATAGTTTAGGTGGTAGTACAAAGACTTGTCTTATTGCAACAATTGGACCAACCAGTGATACACTAGAAGAAACACTCTGTACATTAGGTATAACTATTTGCTGCTGCTGCTGCTGCTGCTGCTGCTGCTGCTGCTGTTGCTGCTGTTGCTGTTTGGCAGTATACTGTGTACTGTGTGGGACTTCTTGCTGCTCCTTGAATGGCGTTTCTTGTGCTGCTGCTGCTGCTGCTGCTGCGACTACTACTACTACCACCTCCGCTACTACCACTCCTATTGCTGCTGCTGTAGCTGCTGCTGCTGCTGCTGCTGTTGCTGCTGCTGCAGATTATGCATTTAGGGCGAAGAGTGTTACAACTCGCCCTGTAGCAACACTAAGAAGGTCACGTAACACTTTGCTGTCTCAGCTGCTGACGGAGAACGGGCAGCTGCGTCTGCTGCTGCAGCTGCAGCGGGAGAGGGATGGTGTCTTCCTGCCGCTGCAGTTGTATAATGAGCAGCAGCAACAGCAGCAACAGCAACAACAGAAACTGCAACAACAAAATACAGAAATTCAACAACTGCAGCAGCAAGTCAGAGAACTGCAGCAGCAAATCGAGCATGAGCAGCAGCAGCAGCAGCAATTAAAGGCACATACAGAGACACTGCAAGCCTCTCTTCAACACACTCACCAGGTATCCTGCTGCTCCTGCAGCAGCACCAGCTGCTGCTGCTGCTGCTGCTGCTGCTCCTGCTTGTGCTGCTGTTGATCGTGTTGCTGTCACTGTTGCTGCCGTTGTTAGTGTTGGTGCTCGTGCTGCTCTTGATGATGTTGTTGCTGCTGTCTTTGTTGTTGTTGCTGCTGCTGCAGAGCCTCAAGCAAGAGCAGCAGCTGACAGCCGCCCTCCAGGAGCAGCAACAGCAGCACGCAGAAGCAGCAGCAGCTGCTGCGGAGTCGCTACGGAAGGCAGTTCAGGACATCACGCTGTTGCAGAAGCAGCAGCAACAGCAGCAACAGCAACAGCAAGAGGCAACAGATGCATGCGCTAGCTTTACAGCTTCTTTGAAGGTCAGCAATAGCAGCAAATTCAGCAGCAGCAGCAGCAGCAGCAGCATGGTTAGCTGCATTTGCAGAAACAGCAGCAGTACAAGAAGCGCCTAACGTTTGCCATTTTGCGTCCTTGCTGCTTGGATCTTGATTGCAGGCAGATGTTGCTGCTGCTGCAACTGATCAGCAGCAGCTGCTGCAGCGAGTGCAGCAACTGCTGCAGCAGTTGCAGCAGACGGAGCAGCAGCGTACCGAATTTGCCAAACAGGGAGCAGCAGCAGCAGCGGATCAGCAGCAGCAACAAGCGCAGCTGCAGCAGCAACTCCAAGGTCATAGCGACTTGGTGCAGCAACTGCAGGAGAAGCAGAAGCGACAGCAGCAGCTGCTGCAGCAACAACTGCAGCAACTGCAGCAAAAGGCAGAGGCGATCGACGCAGCCACGAAGGCAAGTCTGCACATCTCTTGCCTCAGCAAGAGCAGCAGCAGCAGTTGCTGCTGCCGGGAAAGAGTAGCTGCAACCAGTACCAGCAGAAGCAGCTGCTGCTGCTGCTGCAGCTTTACGCCCAAGCTTTTTTTAATGTTGGTGGAGTGTGAGTGTGCGGATTGTCTTGTTGCTGCAGCAGCAGCAGCAAAAGCACTCTTTGCTGTTGCAGCAGCTGCTGGATACTGCGCAGCAGCAACAGCAAGACTCTCTCAAAGCAGCAAAAAGTGAGGACAGCAACTGGTGCTGCTGCTACTGCTGCTACTGCTACTGCTGCTGCTGCTACTGCTGCTGCTGCTACTGCTGCTGCTGCTGCTGTTTTCTAGTTACCACTTGTCGTCGGGCATATATTCCCGCTATTGCTGCTGCTGCTGCATTGACATGCTGCTGCTGCTGCTGCTGTTGCTGTTGTAGGTAAACTTAATACCGCCAAAGAAGACTGCAGCACGAAGCAGCAACAGCTGCAGCAAAACCTCGAAACTCTTGTATCTGCTGTTGCTGCTGGAGGAGCAGCAGCAGAGAAGCAGCTGCAGCAGATGCGGCAGCAACTGGAGGAGAAGACAGCAGCAATGCAGCAGCAGACTGAAGAAGCAGCAGCAGCACTCACAGCAGCGGTGCAGCAGCAGGTGGAGGCCTTTATGAAGAAGCAGCAAGCAGCAACAGAGCAACACAAGCAGCAACTGCTGCAGGAGATAGCTGCAGCGCAGCAGCAGCAGCAAAAGCAGCATGCAGCGCATAAAGCAGCAGCAGCTACCACCAGCTCAGCTGCTACTGCTGCTGCTGCTGCTGCAGGTAGAATTGTTGTTGATGCAGCAGAAATGCTGCAAGCTATATCTGCTGCTGCTGCTGCTGCTGCAGCAGATCAGCACAAAACATTAACAGCAGCAAAAGGAGAGGAGGCAGCAGAAATAGTGCAGCAGGTCAAGGCTGCAAAAGAACTCTGCAAAGACACCTCTGTATGTCTCCTGCTGCAGCTGCTGCTGCTATTGCTGCTGCTGTGGCTGGAGCAGCTGTCGCTATTGCTGCTGCTGCTGCTGCAATTATTTTACCGCCTGCATTTGCTGTCACTAACGGTAGGCAGCAGAATATGTGTGCTTTGTTGGTTTGCTGCTGCTGCTGTTCGTTTCTGCTACAGCAACAAGCAGATGCGGGACAGCAAGAGCTGCTGCAGTGCCAACAGAAGCTGCAGCAGCAGCAGCAGCAGACTGCCGCAGCAGCACAGGCAGCGGCAGCAGACCTCAAAGCAGCAGCAGCACGTGACCAGCAGAAGCAGCAGCAGTTTGCAGCAGCTGCAGCAACAGCAATTGACGCAGCAACTGAAGCAGCAAAATGCAGCAGCACACGCAGCACCGAGGCAGCAGAAGCAGCAGCACAGAAGACTGCAGCATTCGCCTCATCTATGGAGCAGCAGGTAAATAATAATAATAGCAGCAGCAGCAACACCACCTCAAGCAGCTGCACCAGCAGCAGGAGAAGCAGCAGCAAATCTAACATCTGTGCTTGTGCTGCTGCTGTCTGTGCTGCTGCAGCTGCGGACTTGCAGAGGCGAACCAATGGAGGAGGGAGCCATAGGAGAGAGCAGCAGCAACAACTGCATAAGCAGCAACGAAGACGACAACAGCATTATTGACAAAAGCAGCAGCAGTTCTTGCTGCTGCAGCGCATGTGCTGCTGCTGCTGCAGTAAGGCGCTGGGAGCACTGGGAGCCTCTCTCCCTTCCGCCTCTACTCTCTGTTGCAACTCTGAGGTACGCTGCTGCTGCTGCTGCTGCTATTGCTGCTGTTCCTCTTGCTGCTGTTGCTGCTGGTAGTGTGGTTAGTTTACGTTTGGGGGTTTGTTTTTTTTAATGCCAATATGCTGTTGCTGCTGCTGCTGCTGTTGCTGCTGCTGCTGTTGCTGCTTCAGGGAAAGCTCAAAATCTGCTGATGACAGCAGCAGCCAAATGGAGGACATAATGACCCCTCAATGGAGCTGTCCTAGTCCTGTTCCTTCTCCTGCAGCTGCTGCTGCTGCGCCTCCTCCTGCAGCCGCTGCTGCTGCTGCTGTGGCTTCAGCCCCGTCCGAAAACAGCAGCAGCAACATCAGCAGCAACAACAGCAGCAGCAACACCAACATCACCAGCAAAAGCAGCAGCAACACTAGCAACAGCAACAGCAGCAGCAGCATCAGCCACAGCAATAGCATGAGCAGCAACAACAGCAGCAGGAAGGCGTTGGGTGCCCGTTTGGTAGCAGCAACAGCAGCAGCAGTAACCGCAGCAGCTGCAGCAGCAACAACACCGCAGCAGGGCTTAAAGCATCAGCGCAGCAAAAAACTTCAAGGGAGCCCTTCTCCCTTTAAGAGCACAACTCTTGTCAGCAGCAACAACAGCAGACTCGTCAGCAGCAGCATCAGCAGACTCAACAGCAGCAACAGCATTAACAGCAGCAGCAACAACAACAGCAGCAGCAGCAACAACAACAATAACAGCAGCAAAGCCCGCCGCCGCTCACGCAGCAGCGATGAAAGAAATAGCGCAGACTCCGTCAATAAGAAACGCCACACTCCTACTGAAGAGTTTGGCGAAGGGGTTTGTAAACCCTAAACCCTCACAAGGGTTTAGGGTTTAGGGTTTAAAGGGTGTACAGATGAATATACAAACAAAAACCCCAACTCTTCTATTTTTCCGCTTAATCGTCAGCTTAAATGGGCTTTTGCTGCTTCTGCTGCTGTTGCTGCTGTTGCTGCTGCTGTTAGACAAGTGATAGGGACAAGCAAAAGAAATAAAAAGCGAATATTGCATATTCAAACGATTAGAGGAACTTCCCTGAGTACCTCGTAGCAGCAGCAGCAGCAGCACCTGCTGCTGTTGCTGCAGCAGCAAAGCAGCTGCAGTCCTAGCTCGCAAGAGCAGCACAAGTTTGCCGTCAGCTGCATCAAATGCAAAACCAATGCTGCTGCAGCAGCAGCAGCAGCAGCACCACAACATCAGCAACAATAACTTGTGCGCATATCTAATAGCTGCAGAAGCAGCATCTAGCTAGCTTGGTAGCCAACTAACTAGCTAACTAGCATAAGTCATAGCTAGCTAGCCAGCTAGCTAGCTAGCTAGTAGTAAAAGTATTGTTTTGTTTAATGTTAATTAATTAACTGAATGTTTTACATTTAAAACGAAAAGAAATGACAAAACTTTTTCCTTACGTGGAGGGACCTGCTGTCCTTCCTGCTGCTGCAGCTGCTGCTGCAGCATCTGCCCCAGGTTTTGCTGCTGCAGCAGACGCAGCAGCTGCTGCGTTAGCTCTAGCAACGCTTTGCTGCAGCTGCTGATGGTGTTTCTGTCGTTGAATTTATCGCTTGCTGCTGTTGCTTCGCTGATGCGAACGCTTTGCCCTTCCTGCTGCTGCTGCAGCCAGCTGCATATGCTGCTGCTGCTGCTGCTGCTGCGTTGCAGTGTACCGACCCAACGACGATGTGTTACAGGGGGTTAATGGAGCCGTTGCCACTTTAGACGAAACTCCCTGCTCTGTAGAACGCGATGCTGCTGCTGTTGCTGTTGCTGCTGCTGTTGCTGCTGCTGTTGCTGCTGCTGGTGCTCCTGTTGCTAATTGAGCCCCAATCTGTATATCTGCTGCTGTGTGTATCTGCATTGCAGCAGCAACGTATATCTGCTGCTGCTGTATATATCGACTGGTCCCACCACAAAAGTATCCCTCCTTCCCCTCCCCCCCTTGTTGCTGCTCTTGGTTTTGCTGCTCCTGCTGTTGCTGTTGCTGCTGCTGCTGGTGGTAAAACTAGACCGTATCATCATGGAAGTGCCATTTAACTCCTTTAGGTCCTTTACATCCTCTAGCAGCACAATAAGTCTGATCATCAATAGGTGGTTGTTTTTTGCTGTTGCTGCTTAGCATAGATAATAAAGAAATACAACAAGCCTTAACACCTAAGGCAGGTGACCACTGGTCATATAAGATGGACAAACAAATGTGACCATTGCTATACACATGAGGATGTAACGGGATATATGGAGACATAAATACCAATTCAGGAGAATCTGTTCACAACAATACACAACAACAGCAGCAACAGCAGCAGCAGCAGCAACAACAATAAATGCAGCAGCAGCAGCAGAAAGAGCAGCGCGAATTTTTTGTTGGAATTCGGAAAAAAATACACAAAACAGAAAAAACACAACGTTCTAAACACTACAAACCCTAAACCCTTTACCACTGAAAGCCTAAACCCTAAACCCTAAACCCTAAACCCTAAACCCTAATAATTTACCAATAGGATATTTAGGAGGGAACCTGAAGCTGAGTAAGAAAGGGTCTGCAGCATAAGCTGTATCAGGGGCCCCCTCTACTGCAACAATCCATCGGACACCATCTGCTGCTGCAGCACGATACTGCAGCATAGATGGAGGGAAACGGGATAATAGCTGTGCAGCACGCTTGTTCTTGCTGCTGCTGCTGCTGCTGCCGCCGCCACTGCTGCTGGTACTGACGAAGGTGGTGGGGGTGGGGGTTGTGTCTGTTGCGGCGCCTCTGGTGTTGTTGCTGCTGTCGGCAGATGCAGGAAGCGGCTCCGCTCCCTGCTGTTGCTGTTGTTGTTGTTGCTGCTGCTGCTGCTGCTGCTGCTGCGGCCTAGGAGGGTGAGCAGCAGATAAAAAGTCCGATGCATCAAGATCAGAATATTCAAGAGGTAAGACAAGAACAACTCCCTCTACTATCTCACGAAGAAATGTTTGTCTCTCCTTCTCTAATCTGCAGCAACAAACAAAATAAATATACTCCTGCCGCTACACGTGCAGCTGCTGCTCGTGCTGCTGCTGCTCGTGCTGCTGCTGCTCGTCTTGCTGCTATTGGTGCGGTGGTGCTGCTGCTGATCGTGGTGCTAGTGGTATGCGACACGGTCCTCTTGATGTGTTGTAGGAAATGCTCAACAAAACTAGAAACCCTAAACCCTAAACCCCAAACCCTAAACCCTAAACCCTAGACCCTAAGCCGTAAACCCTAAAACCTTGGTCACCTTTTGAACATGGTAGTGTTCCCCCATCTACGACTTAATTCCTGTCGCGCCTCTTCTGGAGTATACGGCCCAAGCGTCTCTCCTGCTGCTTCTGCTGCTCCTGCTGCAGCTCCTTCTGCTGTTCCTGCTGCCCCTGCTGCCGGTGACTGTCGCGGTGCTGTTGCTGCTGCTGCCGCTGCTGCCGCTGCTGCAGCAGCAGCAGCTGCTGCTGCTGCTGCATTTGCCGGCCAGTTGCGCCCCTCGGCAGCAGACTGTGCTGCTGAGTCGTTGAGGCCGTTGCTTTTAATTGTGCGGTTGCTGCTGCTCATGGTGTTGCAGCTGATCCTGTTGCCGCTGCTGCTGCTGCTGCTGAACTCGTGGCTGCTGTTGCCGCTGCTGCTGCTGCTGCTGCTGTTACTGCTGCCCCTAAACCAGGTCCTTCTCCCTACTGCAAAACTTCCCTCTCCATGAAAGACTGCAGGTTGGACATTCCCCATCTTCGAGCAGCACACTCATCGAGAGAGCTGCTCGCAGCTGCTGCTGCGGCTGCTGGTGGTGCTGCTGTTGGTGCTGCTGCTGCTCGCTGCTGCTGCTGCCGCCGCACTCCCATCCAGCAGCCCCTGCTGCTGCTGGCCTCTGCTGGTGCAGCTCGGTGCTGCTGCTGCCTTTGCGTACTGATGTAACTCACTGCGGCCACTGCTGCTCGCTGCTGCTGCTGCTGCAGGTACACCTGTAGCTGCTGCTGCAGTTGCTGCTGTTGTTTGGCGTTCTTAGTGTGGTTGCTGCTGGGGTTGTAACCTCAATATTCCCTCCTGGCTGGCTTCCGTTGCTGCTGCTGCTCGCTGCTGCTGCTGCTGCTCGCCGCTGCTGCTTCTGCTCGTGCTCTCGTGGGTCCTGAGCAGGGCGTGTCTCAAATGAGTTCCTTCTTAAATTATTAAGATGAGGAGATTAAGCAAAGATGGAGCAGCAGAAACAGAGAGGGGACCGCCTCTTATTCTCTCTGTACGTACAGCTGCTTCGGAGGCTGCTGTTGAGTCAACAACGGCAGGGGAGAGGGGGATGGGGGTGGAGGGGTAAACGGGGGAGAAATAAGGAAAAGAAGGAAATGGAGAGAGTTAATTGAATAAAAGGAATAAAAAACAAATATATAATTTGGATTGGGTGTACAGCTGGGTTTCCTTCGCTGTACACTGCTTTCGCTGCTGCTGAAGGGGCTGCCGCTGCCTTGCCGGTGCTGCAGCGCTGCTTATCTCTCCTAGAGGAAAACAAACAAAGCACACAATTTAAAATAATTAAGATAATTAAATAAATACAATCTTTTGCTTTATCTTTGTTTTCTTAACGCTTGAAAACCTCTCCATTAAAACCTACCAGTGGTGCCTATACACCTCAAGCAAGAGCAGCTTGGCTGTCCCTACGTGTGTCTGTATATCTAATAATCGGCTCTCCGATCAAATGCACACGCCTTCTAAAGAATATGTATTCTATTGTAACTCCTTGATTGGTGCTGCAGCTGCTGTTGCGGCGGCTGTTGCTGCTGTTGCTGCTGATCCTGCTGTTGCTGTTACTCCTGGTGTGTCTGGTGCATGCTGCTGTTGTTGCTGCTGCTGCGGTTGGTGTCGCAATATTTAGATGTTCTTACTGCTGCTGCTGTCGCTTCTGCTGCTGTTTACAGCTGCTACAGTGACTGCTGTTGCCGCTGGTACGTGCTGCTGTTGCAGCAGGTGGATGCAGCTGTTATAGTGCAGGTACTCGTTTTATTGCTACTGGTCTTGCTGCTGCTTCTGCTCTTGCTGCTCTTGCTGCTTCTGCTTCAGCACATTCTACTAGGCCTTTTACGAGTAGCAGCAAGATAATACATGAATCGGCAATTAAAGCCTATTTACGGGTTTCCTCTTTTTTTGCAACACCTGTGTTTAGTTCTTGTAGCCGCTGGTGGTCTCCTTTTCTTCTTTTTTCTCATATTTTCCCCTCTTTCTTTCTTTTCTTCCTTTGTATTTTAACTAAATTTCTCTGTCTACATCTTCTCATTTGCTCCCTCTGCACTCGTGGGGCTTGGTGCCGCAACAAAATTGACAGTGCAGCTGAGAAGAATCGACCCTCTACGCGCCAGGGTTTAGGGTCTAGATTTTAGGGTCTAGTGTTTAGGGTTTAGGTATTGGGCACTATCTATGCGATTCGGGTGTCATATATGTTGATTACGCTTGTGCTAGAGATGAGGGGCAAAGGGCCTTCTTAACAGCGATTGACCTTAGGGTTTAGGGTTTAGGGTTTGCGTTGATTTTTTTGAAACTAGAAAAAGATGTTTTATGTTGTTTTCCCCCGTAGTAGCCGGAGCTGCAGCAGAACAGGTTTGCTGATGCAGAAGGTGGTGCTGCAGGTGCTGCTGCTGTCGCGTATGTTTTCTTAATCCTTTTTCTTCCAGTCCTCATCACCCTGTAGATGTTTTATGGTTTAGGGTTTAGGGTTTAGGCATCTGTAGCCCCACTGCATGCAATGAGACACAGACCCAAAACAGCAGCTGCAGAGATCGTATTGCATACTAAATGTTTTGGGCTTTTTACGTTTATAATCTGTTGAGTTTTATGTAGCAGTGCATCACAAAAGCTGCTGTAGCAGCAGCGGCAGCATCTAGTGCTTCTGCTAAAATATGCCGCTGTTACAACACTAGATTCATAAGCCTGTGTCCATCGGAGCATTAGCATTGTTTTTAGTTTATGCCGAAACAACTGAACAGACAGAATGCAATTAAATATTCAATTTGTTTCTTGTTATCTACTCTGTTTAGTCTTTATTCATCATTACTAGCAGCAAACGACTACCACGGTAGGCAATAGCAGACCATCGGCAAACAACAAAAGGGACAACCAAGCACAAGGGTTTAGGGCTCAGGCTTTGGGTGTTCTTAACCACAATTTAAAATGCATAATATTGTAAATTTATTTTCATATTTAATTAAACGCATACAAAAAAAAACAAAAGAGTGTTTGTTTCTTCTCTCTGCCACCTTCCTCCACAGTATTTCAATCCCCTCAAAAACGAAACAGGACAGGCAAAATAGAGGGAAACTGCATTGAAATTCAACTTAATTCGTTCGCATTTAGCTGTAAATAATTAGTTAGTGTAAGAATATTACATGGTTGAAAAAATTACTGTTTTATGCTTACAACAAGAAGGAATGACATGTGCTCTAGCACGTGCCTCGAGCAGCAGGCGGCCGCCCCCCCATCAACCTATTCTGGAATATCTTATCGTTTTTTGTCATTTTCCCCCTTTACAAGTGAAACATACGTAAATATTTCATTGAAAATATATATTTTGTGAATTAAAAAGGAAGAAATAACGCCAAAGACGCCCAATGATCTGCTTGTGACCTATGTGATCTATACAGTACCCTTGCCATTGGAAAGAGGGGCATTGCCAGGCCCTCCCCCCCCTTGTTATGTTGCTACCATTAGAGCTGTGGGTAGTTTTATCATTTTGTTTTTTTGTTTGTTAAAAGTAAAATTACAGTTTAAATTGAATATTTATTTAAAATATCTCTGGAAAATGATGCGACGGATCTGCCTTCTTCCGCTCTTTCTCCTTGGCTTGTGCAGTTCCCGCTGCGGAGCCGATTTGCCAAATCACATCACTCTAAGTATAGGTCCAAATCCCCTTTCTATGATTATTCCTAAGCTTTCTCTTGATTTGCATGGACACAGCTCGAGCAGCTCGGATTCCTCCTCCTCAAGCTCTGATGAGCATGCCGCAGAGGAGCACACCCATCACAACACCACCAAGCGCAGCCACAAGCGTATGTGGGCGCTGATGCTTATTCTTCCTGCTCTACTTACACTCATTGGTCTTTCCGTTTTTGCTGCAAAGCGTGCAAATGTCGATTTCAAAGCCCTGATGGAACGCCTCCATTTGAAACAAGCGGTAAGCTATAGCGGGAAATAAACATAAAGTAGACGATATTGACCTCAGTATACCGATAAATAACGCCAAATATTCTTTCCCTTATTTTTAGTATTCTTCTATGTGCTTATAGAAGCGGCAACTATCATTTAAAGCACAAATAGAATCCACAAATTGGGGAGGAAACCCTGGAAAGTGTCGATCTAAACAGGACAGGACAATCTGTTTACTTCTGTTTTTAGTGTTTTATTGCGTAGAGTTTATTTGGTCAATTTTCATATCATTCATTCTCCTGCATGTTTCGTTATTTATGGGTGTTTAAGGTTATTTGCTTATGTTTTTGTCGTATATGTGTGCTTTCCTTCAGCAAGAAGAGGAACAAGGCGATAAGAAAAAAGGAAAATGAGGGATACACAAAAGACTTGTTCTAATGTGCGTCCGCTAAGATATTTGAATATTTACCCAAAATAGAAGTAACAGAACAGCCTATGCTGATAGTATTACTATTTATTTTCTTTCTATAAATGCAACAAAAAGGAACTTCAGTGACGTGAAACGCTAGTAATTCGTGTCTGTCTGTTAATATTACAACAAAAAAGCTCGGGCTTTTTGTTTTTATCTGCTCTCTGCTATTCCCTTTGCCTATTCCTTTTGTATTTCCTCATCTATTTCCTAGTCAGCAGTGTCCCTGAAAGAATCAGGGAGACAGATGCAGCAATAGATGACAAAAAAACGGCGAAAAAGTAAAGCAAACAACAAAAATACAAATAGAAATCCCTTTGCTTGTGGAGATTGTTTGTGTGTTCTTGACGTTCGTGTACTTGCGTTTGTTATCTGTCTATTAGCAATTACTATTTATCATTTGTGTATTTTATGCAAAACACTGCTAGTTGAATTGTGTGAAAGTCGCACAGCAGCACGTTGCTCCTGTTTAGTGCAACAGAAGAATAAATTGGCATTTAATGCACGCATATGAATTTTATGTCTTTAAATGAATGCAGGTATTTTGAGGCAGCTTTTAACTGGGGGCGGACAACGATATAAAAGGCGGCCTGATGACGGAAGGGAGGAACCAAGAAGTAGAGGGAATGCAGCAATAAAAGAAGAAGGATCAGCCACTTCGTCGTGTAAATTAGCATACAAACATATATATAGATATATATATAGATATATATACAGCTATATATACAGATATATATGGATGCATAGTAGATAGAGAAATAGGGAGGGGCGGTCTTTTGTTGCGCATTTGAACGGTTGTTAAAGTTATACTGTACATGAAATGCGTTTGATGATGAACAAATGAATTCATGTTAGACTTTATTGTAAGCGAATACAACGCGTGTACTGTGTTTGATTATTATACATGTAGCATGCTTGTTCGTCTACATTTGCTGGTTGTCCTGGAGGTTTGAGTTACAGTATTTTCTAAAAACCTCCGCTGCAGCAGCAGCAAGAATCACCAATTTAGTGGTGTTGCATTTGGATCTTTAATTTCTTCTTCTTGCCTGCATGTGAGCTTAGTTTGCAGCAACAAAGACCATTCCCCTTCGCTCTGGAACAGGCGAAGCATCTCTTGCCAATAGCAGTTTTGTTCGCTTTCAACTTCTCCAATTATTTTATTTAAGTTCTCTTTTCCTTTCAATAACTGAGCAAAACACTACGATGTTACTGCACTCAGCGTACAGCAAATTAGGCATATCAGTGACTACAGGCATACAGAGGAGGAAGCACGTCTTCTTATCCAGTACGCACAGGTCCATCCATGTACGTGTATATATAGTATGTATCAACACATCGAGAGGATGGAGCCAATGAGTTTTCTTAGGAGTTTAATTGCGTCGTTGAGCACTTCAGAGCAAGTTTTGATTGTTCTATAACGGAATTCATATGTTTTCTTTCGTCTTCGCCTGATCGGAGACACTTGTTCTTGGCGGCATCATTCCCCTTACCCCCTTCTTGCCTCCCTAGCAGTCTTAACAGTGTCATTTGTACCTAGCTCTTTTTCTGTGCTTAACCATCATGTGTCTCTCATTTGAATTAGTGTACTGACCTTCCACCTACCCAATGTCCTTCGCAGTGGCTTGATGATGATAATGCAGATACACCTCGGATGCAAGAACTCTAGCATGCGTCTTCGAAAGAGCAAACATATTTATAATTAGTTGCCGTCTACCAGCGGCAGAACTACGCCCAAGCAATGAAATGATGATAATTGGTAGTAGTAAAAGGTCGTCGCAAAAGGGGGCGTTAAGCGAACGCAGCCTGCACCGAGCAGGAATTCTACCTATCATTCCGCTTCTGGTTGTAGCCAAAGACAAACAAGTACAAACTAATGGTTTGCGTTTTCCTGGTTGGAAAAACAACGCTACAAGGGGCATGCGGTATGCTGTGGACTAAAGTGAAAAGAGGAAAAAATTAAAGAAAAAGGAAAGGATTGTTCCTGTTTTAAACAGCACGGAACTTCAAACTGTTGTGTTCTCTATAGCTAAAAATTTTTGGACGTTCGTATAAACGTCTTTACGTACGCTTTGTGCGATATAAATAAGATATTTCCTTTAAAACATCCATTTGAAATTGCCTCCATCAACCGCTGCAGTTGTGTAATGCAGAGGCGAGAGAGAAATTATAAATGTTGTTGCCTTCTTAAACAGCATACTGCAGTGGCATGCTTTCCTTTAGTATCATACGGTTGTGTGTATCTGTCTGTGTGTCTGTATACTTCTCTTTTCCCGGCTTTTACATAGAAACCTGCACATCGGTTTCGGCCATACAGATGGACAGAAGCTGTCTTATCATGCCTTCAAACAAATCCAAATATTTAATTTGGCTGTTTAAAAGTTAATTTTATGTTTAATTAATTACCCAATATCCAAACTAAGGATGCACATAATCAATTAGGTAATAATTGCGTTCATCGAGGCTGCTGCGGCTCTTGTTTCTTGTTCAGCTCTTTATCTCCACGGGGTTAATGACAATGAGCCGCCTTTCTCTATACACCTGTATTGTCATTGTTCCGTTGGTGGAAGGATCCGCTAGCAACGCCAAACACATCGTTTACATGAGATCATGAACCACACTTTTGGACTCGTGTTATGATCGTGCGGGATCGAGGTGGGATTGGGATATTACTCACGGCTAGCAGCCACGAAGTACTGCTGTTGTCAGAGGCTCATCCACGCCCTCTACTGCTTGAAGAGGGTGCAGGCCAGGAAGCCTGCAATAAAAAGGAACAACAGCATCAGTGTGAACGCTACTGCATATCACCACCGCCAGAAGCCACCAGCAGCTTTTTTGTCAGCGGCGAAGTGCATGTAATCTTATTAAAGGCAACTAAGTAGTGACGACGTACTCCAGTCGCCCCTGGCACGTCCAGCAGAACAGGTGCAACGTAAATCCTCTTGGCGGGCTGAGGAAGCGCAGCAGCCAACTAGCCGAAAGACGCATCGGCATATTTCCGTATCTGTCAAAACCAATAACTACATCTGTATCCATCACTACATATATATGCATCTCAGTCTATCAAATAATATACATATAGAGATAGTTATTTATATTGTTGCAAGAGTTTACACCAACTGCAAGTGTTTTAACATCGGTATTACCTCGGGGGGTGGGTAGTCATCTTCCTGATCACAAAGAAACGCAAAATGGAAAAAAGCAAGTTTCAAAATAATGGACCTCACTCTACCTTGTAATAGTGACATGGAGGTGCAGTCCTAAATGCCACTAGTTCTCTTCTATTGGAACACCGAGGTAAAATGCAGAAAGGGAGAAGGAGCATGACAATGAGATAAAATAGAACACAATGATATTGCAACAAACAAGATAGGAGTATCTGAGAGAAGATATGCTCAGAGGGGACAAGAGGACAAAATATGAGGAAAGCATCTAAGTAGGGCATCGCTGAGATGAGGGAGCCAAGATACGTTGATGATGATATAACAGAATGTACGGCAAAAACGATTTCGTGCGAGATGGGTCTGGACAAGATGAGTGAAGATAAGAGGGTTATATCAACTAACGAGAGGAGATACTTAAGTGCACTTAAGTGCATATAGACAAGCTAATCAGAGAAAACAACATAATATGTTGAGAAGGTAAGATGTGTTTAGAAGGCATTTTCCTCTGTCTCACCATTGGCGGTCCGTACATACGTGCCAGAAACTTCAGTACCGAATTTAACAGCCGCTTTTTCACCACTTTCTTCTTCTTTGGGGGTTTTGGAAGCTGCAGAACCGCCCACATTATATAGTTGCAGCCCCTTACAAAACACCCAATTTTTATTTAAACTAAATATACTGCCTCCTTAATTATGTTCGAACGATCAGAAATGCATACAAAGGAAATTGTTGGGATTCGGACAATCTTGCAGGGGTGTGCCTCCTGCGCTAGTAGACCTGATGCAGCTACGATGTAAGTGGCTATGTCTATATCCTGATAATAACATTCGATGTATTCAAACAGAAACATTAAATGTATATAGATGAGAGAATAGGAAGCAGAGACGCATAGGTGCGCTTGCAGGGGTACTCAGGACGCGCCTCTTCGTAGGATACACTCCTCTTCTGAAAAACAGCACACAGACTCCAAACAACTAAACATGCCCTAAGCCATAAACACCCAACCAGCACAAGTATCTGTTCGCATCCAACCACACACACAAACAAACACAGTGGACCCAAGACCTGCTACACAGCACAAATTTGCAGATACAAAATCCCTACATTATGCATTATCTACATATTTGCAAAAACAGGTGAAAATGTTGGAGAAGAGGCAGCGGCTAGTATAGTCACTTCAAAAGGAGAAAGCAGCTTATTGGTAAAGAGTGCATCAGGCGGCACAGAGCATTAAAAGTCTTACGCCCCTCCTTCTGGACCGGGTTAGGTTGCTTGTCTGTAGAAGTCGTCGTTTCTCCTCTGTGGCTGCAGGAGCAAACCCGTCAACTACCTAAGAGAAACCAGCAGAGTCTGCTTTTTATTCGAGTATGTCTAAGGTTTAGGTACTTTTTTTGGAGATCACAGCATAAATACAGTTGTACAACTGTTTACTGTCATCTATCGGTTGTTTTCCAGGCCTGAAGGTTTGCATGCAGTTGGCAAACGTAACTAGGGGGAAACTGTGTTGTATTTCATCACTAGTTGTGCTCACTGATATGGATCGATACTCAGCGCCATCCCCTTCGCCTTCGTCGTCGTCGCTTTCTTCTAATTCTTCCTGCACGGACAGCCGCATTGAGAAGAAGTTAAGTAGTCAGTCTCATTATTTTGGTTGCCCTTCTATGATACCTTACAGTGTACAGACACTTGGTTGACCCACCTCCCAACTAACGGAGTACAGAGAGAGGCCCAAGAAAAGAAGCGTGAGGAGGCCGTATAGGGCAGCAGCAGCCTTTGGCTTCCTTGAGACAGCCGGTGTCGCCACCTTCTCTACAGCGGCTGCTGTGCTGCGTTCATTTTGTTCGGGTTTTGTTGGAGCAGCGGCGAAAGGCTGCTGTGGCGCATCCGCTGCCCGTGGAGATTGGGCACCAGCAGAGACCTTCGGAGAAGATACGGGCGCGGCCACATTCTCTGTTGCAGACGAAAATCCCGCCTCCCAGTGCTGAACAACTAAAAAGAATAGGAAGAAAAGGTATTGGCCGACTGCTACCCTCATCTCACCCTGTAGTGGAAATGTGGTTGCTGCTTCGACGCCCTACAGCGGACGCCGGCGAACGGTTGCCGCCGGCTCTCTTCAAAGAATGGAGTTGCGTTTGCGTTTCAAAACCAATTTATGCGGTAGTAAAAATACACAAAAAAGCATAAAAGGATACTTTTTGAGGCGCTAGACAGAAAAGGTGGCTGTCTCACGAAGGAAGAGCCTCAACACCACTGCGAGGCAACACTGTGTGAATTGTGTACTTCAACAGATATTCCCTCTTGAGAAGGTGTCTAAGTTTTTGACTGTTTCTGATTATTCAAATTTCGAGAACGACCTTACTGCACCTTTTCGCAGTTCAACGAAACTCAACCGGTATGAACGACTCCAGAAGGAAAGCGGCAAGGAGACGGAGTCGGCGGGCGAAGGCACACCGGTCTGTGGAACAGCTGACTTCAGTGTTTCATAATTAAGATGTAAATTAGAGTTACAACCTGAAATTATAATTTATAGAATCGTTTCTTTCCATTCTCGTGTCAATGTGCTCCATGGAATCTGCCTAAAGATACCAGGAACCCTGAACGTTAAGTGGGCAGGTGTCGGAACGCTGGACGCAGGGAGAGATGACCAACTCAAATAATGCAACACCTTCATTTGAAAACTACAAACAGTTCATTATTGCATGATGGAAGATGCTAGTATATTGATGATGTATGCAGGAAGATGGGAAGCTACTGGGCATTTGCATTCCCTGACCAAATCCGTGCGGCAGCCAACTGGTTATTCGAACGCAGCATTTGCAACAGGCGAATTCCCCAACAATTGTCTAAGAGTTTCTTGAGTAGCCATAGAGCCACATTACTTGGAATGAGGGCTAGCAAAAGCATATGATGCTGCAGGTTCTGTCATGAGTTTGCACCCATATGTACATGAGGACCTTCCCAACAGTCTCCACATATCCTGATCGTGGCAACTCACGAGGCTGGAGCTGGTAAGGAGTGCATCCGGTCAGTCACAAACGGCGCTGCACATTATAGTAGGTGCTGCAAGGCACCCTTCCCATGCAAGCGTACCCAGTTCTCTTTTGAATGCCGTTTGTACACCTGCTAGTTGGATGCTATTGACAACCGTCAATAAAAGCAGCACAAATACGGCCCAGTAAACCGAGCGTCTCTCTAAGATTGAGTGAAGTCCCAGAATGAATAGATAAAGGGTGTACAAGAGTAGAAGTTATAAACAAGCCCGTTTTCTCCCCATATATGCACTTTGCAGCTGCATTCACACACTGATGGCCTTTGGCCGCTGTTAGCATAAGATAAATGCAAGCACTACGTTGCAAACATCCACACGAATTTGTTCTCCACGCAGAAGCGCCAATCCGCCACAACGCATTTCCAGTTCCTCTGCATATCTGCATGGCAGAATACAAAACAGAATTTCCAGTTCCCCATGGCTCTCACCCAATCCTACTGCTCCCTCTATCAGTGTCTCACATGCCACTGTTGCTGCTGTAGCTTCTGCCGTCCCTGCAGCGTTCGCCAAATCCGTGGCTGCTCTTCTGCAACCACTCGTGGTCCAAATAAGGGCGAACCTGATAGTTTGAGCATCCATCCACGGGCTGGAACAGGTCTGGCACTGCCAGGACAACCTAGAGAAAGGTGTTCAGCCCCAAATACTGAAAAAAAGTGTTTTTGGTAGACGCACTGCTGCCATTGTAGGCACTATAAGGAAGGTAGGAAGCAGAATAATGTTACATGGCTCCTAATGGCACACAGGTGCGACTTATATGCCCTTCTTGAATCAAGAAAACAGCAATGGCTACGGGATTAGCAAACAGGGCACAGCACAGCGCCGTTGTGCGCGTCCCTGCCGCATTGCTGCCAACGAGCTAAAAGTTGCATTTAGGTATTCAAAAGGAGTCGTCTCAACAATGAGGCCTTATACCCCCTATGTGGCATCCGACTGCGGCTATACACCCTATGGCGCATCCGACTTCTCAGACTGGCGCTGCTGGCGTTTTGCTGCCACAGTCCCCTACCAGAACTGATGGTAATGGTGAAATATAAAAATTGGTGCTAACTCTACATTAGGTCTGAGCCTTTCCCACGGAGCAACAGCAAATGGCCATACGGAGAGAGGATTTCTCCGGCTCTTTGCGCTCCTCCTCTCTTCAGAGAGGGTGCGAACCAACCCAAACCAAGCTGCACGAGTGGAGAGTGGCTTCTTCGGCAGCTGTGCCGGAGTGTATTGCCTGACATTTCTGTGCTCCTCCCATTCACTACCGCACTTGTGCCAAAAGCCGGTGGAATGTCGAAACTGCAGAAGAACGCAGCTGGCGTGATATAACCGTGGATCGGCCAGTGGCGTCTGGGACTAATGGTGTCGGTAAGCAATGCATGGAAGAGTGCACTGTTCTAATATAAAAACATCAAGCAAAAGGGAAGGATTCAGCTCACCTTCATCTTTTCTTCTGGGCAGTAAGTCACAAATACTGCACCATCACGCGCTGTATCCACTCCCGACAAACAGGCCGTGAGTTAAATAGCTGCACGGCGTTGATGGATCATCAGTGAGCACTGAAACACGGCTATTGCATCACATTACAAAACTTTCCATCATCATACCAAGTATGTAAACATGTTTGGCACTGTGTCCTGCTCGGAGTGGCAGTTCACAGCCATGGATACAACCGCAGGTCGAAGGCTTGTCCGCACGACAGCATAAAAGAAGCCTACGTCTTCATCTATTCACTAAACCACTTGATACACACGTATATGGACATCACTAGCCAACTAGAAATGCGTGTACCACGAGAGACAGCAGATGCCACGGTCCAGTACCAGCTCCCATGAAACAGCGGAACAAACAAACCGGTGGCAATTCACACTGACTCATGCAAATAAACATTGTTAATTCACATAATTCGCCTTCAAGTGCCTCAAAAAAGTAGTATAGGCAGCGCAAACTCATCTCCTCCATATGACCCAGAGATTACGGGGGCCCCGACGCTGGGGGCCCCCGTATAATCAAGAGGAACAACTCAACTGTCTAGCATATCTTTGTCTTCTGTTGGTTGCCTGTATTACTCAGTTAAATTATCTAAACCCGAACAGTCCATATATCTTAATGTATTGATTACTTTATCACTGCAGATGATCCCGCGTGTAGCTGGATGAGGTCTCGCCGCTGTTTCTTGCATTGGACCCTGCATTTTCCCGGAGACTGCAATTTCTTTCAATTATGCTGATAATCAGGATGGTTTCTTTTGACCACAGTATTGCCTGCTGTTCCCAGTGAGCCGTGTGAGTCTGCACTATCTGCATCCTTTTCTACGTTGAGCAGCCCGCCTAAACGTAGGTGCCTGCTACTGCGGCGGCAGGTCATTCATCCTTCTTGAATTTGGTTGTCAGTTGGGCGGTTTAAATCGGTCCCCGTAACCCTGTGAGTGAAGACATTTGCCTTTTGCTGTTTCGTAGGCAATACAGAATATTGAGAAGAGATGGGATTTTGGGAATTCAGCGAAATGATTGAAACAAGTTACCGTCTGCTGTTCTCATTACACCAGGCTCCACGATTCCTCTCTTCCATCGAAAATCAAATGATCCTCTTATAAAAATGAAGTGCAGACAAGCGTTTCTGCTCTCCTCAATTTTGCTCTTCCAGCCCCCGACTGCAAATACCGTACGTTTAGCCATTCAACTCAAAGAGGTCCTCTCACGTGGTTCGGCCCTGCAAAATGGCGATATTTGTTGGTTCGCAGCAGGAGGCGACAAAAAGGGACGTCTCCGATATCCTCTTGGGTTCGCTAGTGCAGCTCAGGCCCATGCTTTTGTTCCGTGTACTATCAAAGAGGCCACCCCAGTTAAAGCGAGAGCGCAAACAGCAAGGGCAGAAGATAATGCGACAGCAGCAACAGTGGAGGCTCCGCAAGCAACAGCACGCGTGTTACCAAAAAGGAGGAGACGTGTATCGAAACTTCCGGCCACAGAAAAAGGCGAAAATACATCAGTAAAAGGCGGAGATGACACTCCTTTGGCTTCACCAGCATATGTCCAAAGTGCAACATCACTTGTTGGTCCCCCAGATGCTACTGCTGTAGAAGATCCTACGGCGGCAACTGCTGCAGGTGCTGACGCTGTTGTCTCCCTTGCTGGAGCGGTTCCTGTAGCAGCAGATTCTTCAGTTGCTTCGACATCTCCTGATGCTGCTCCTCGTGGAGCAGTTGCCGTGCCTTCTGCTGGAAGTCGTGACAGCTTTTCTAATTTTCCAATTACTAGTCTCCGCACCGCCTGTCGAAAGCTGCAGTTGTCTAGCAAGGGCAAACGAGGCGAGTTGGTGCAGCGACTGCATGAAGCAGCATCTGTAGACGAGATTGTGTCTCTTATACAGCCATCGGAGCCCCCGATGCAGCACCACCAAGTTAAAGAAGGGATGGCATCAAGACAGGAGCCAGAAATGCCTGCAGGAATTAACGCAAAGCCAGTTTCCCACCGCTGCCACAAATGCAACCGACGATTGTCCTCCAGTAAGCAGGAGGAAGTACAAAATGCATGGGCAGTGCACAAACACATCATAATTTTACAGCAATAAGTTTACTTTTGTATACAATTAGGGAGCGGGATTCTGGTGTTAAGATAATGGTGTTTGAACTCCACAAAGTTGGACGGAAATTTAACAGTTCGACAGATGCAGTAGAATTAAAGAAGTGATATTGTGCTTGCACGCAGTGCAAAGCGGAGTGAACGGAATTGTCAACGACATTACAGCCGTACACGATTGCTTGCAGCTTCATGCATGAGGTATACATATTTGTTTGGCTGCCGCCAGTGGTTTTGTTTGCCATTCCGATCGGCAGCACTGAGCAATTAGCAGCAGCAGTAATTGCTGTTCCTGCTCGTTTTCTTGTTGCAGCTATCAACTATAGCAGACTTTGGTGCTGCAGCAAGAGGTCTCTGTGGATAATTGTGGTGTTGCATTCAGAGGCCCGTTTCTGCTCTGCGTGCGGCGCCACCATCAGCACTGCGGGCCAAGAGACGCTGAGGGAGTTTGTTGAACGCGACTTTTGGCCAGTCAGGTAGGGGTGACAAGATATAGTCAACTTGAGCACATTTACGTACTAAGTGCTCATTGCTCTTCCCGTCAGTGCAACGGGCGGAACATGCCCTTATGGATATGCGTCACGACAATTATGTGGTTATAAGCAAAGAGAAAACGTGTGCTAGGTTGGGGGGGAAGCTGCTTCCAATTTGTAATAGATAATCAGACTTCACCATCTCGCATTTGCAGTTAATTAACGGGATAAATATAAAAGGCCTTTCCTGTTAGTCCTTCGTCTTGTTTCACAATTTGCAGAGAACAGGAAGTAGGAAGCAACACAATGCGAGTTGAACGCGGATTTTGGCAATCTATTTTACAGGTTCGTCGTTGGCTCAGCTGAATTTATTGTGCCGTTCCCACTTTCCTGGTGGTAACATGCCCAGGTGCCGTGCTGGTTTGCTTGTTGATGCTACTACAAGAGCTCTAGCATGTGTAGACGCTTTGTAGTAGGCGAGCTGCTGTTGGGTTCTGTGCTGTTGATATGGCTTGCTACTCCTGTTTTCGCCGTTGCTACTTGTATTCCTGCTCTTGGTCCATCTGTCATGGGAACGCCGCCTGGTATATCGTCGCATGAACTTCTGTCTCTTGCAGGTTATTGGAGATGTCCCTGTGGCAAATCTGTCTTCTGCTATATGGGAAAAGTATTTGGGGTACGTACTGTTGCAGGCGACTTCGCGTCCAAATTACGCCACTTAGCAGCATGTTTCTATTGTGCCCTTTAAGGGGTCTAACTATATAATGTAGAAGCGTTAAACTCGCTGTAAATTTTTTTATCTGTGTAGAGTTGGTGCTGGCCGCATTCTACTTTTTTACTTCAACAGTAACTGCAAAGTTACTATTTGCAGTACAACTGAACACAACGGATCCATTTCACTGAATCGGCTCGGCTGTTGTTGCTCGTTCCGTACGTGTTCCGAGTATCCATTCTTTTCTTGCATTGTTGTGTGGGTGATTTAGGGTGCTTAAGCAACGCAACTGTTCCCCGCGGACTCAGGTGTTGCACCAGGTTGCGTATTTGGCTGCCTTGAAGTATGCAGTGCACACAAGGCGGCTTGACGGAATTCACCCCTTCCGCAAGATAAGAGGTTGTACGAAGCGTACACTCGTGTCGGTGCCGTTGACAGCTGAAGAAGTACGTGGAAGCGTTGCGTATGTTATTGCTCTTTTCCTGTCAGCTGGAAGACGCAATTGAGTATTTGGTGTACGTTCATGTAGCGTACAAAATTATGGCATTTTGTCGTGAAGCATTTGCACATGCGGCCCAGTTGCCCTTAATTGGCAATTCCGGTCAACTGTACCCAGTTGCTGGGTGGGTCCATGCGCCTCACGCCGCTTATCAGGTCTACTTGCTGCTGGCCGCTACTCCCAACACAATGCACTGCGCTTTATTTGCTGTTGGAATCGGCGCTGGCCTCCGGCCTTCTGAGATTTTGTCGATGAGGTGGGAAGACATAAACATGGAAGATATGACGGCAACGATTCGTGGCTCAAAGACAGCAGCATCAGCGGCCGCCATTCCTCTTACGAATCTAGCAGGGAGAGAGCTTATGCGCTGGTACACTATTCCTGGCCTTCCACCCTGTCTTATGCACACTGACTCATTCGTTGCTCAATAGCCATAATAACGATGGCAAAATGCAGAATTTATACCATTTGCCTTTACAGCAGAAATCAATGTAATATGCATTGATCGTGCGGGATTGACGAGCTTCTTAGTCCCTTTTCTGCAACCGGTAGAAAGCATCTACAGCAGTGGCTGCTCCCTGTGTGACAATGTCCCAGAACATGTAGTGCCTCGTGCCCTTACGTCGTTGTGCAGGTGGGAAGAGGAGGGTAAACCAACAAGCGGCCTGTGCTTCTACGCGGAGGGAATACGCACACCCAGCAACAGGGCAAAACTGGAAAAGAAGACACCGATCCGTAAGACCATCAACCTTGTGTGAACGTTTCGGTCTTCGGTGGCTCCGAGAAGTAGTGCGCGCGCTGCTGCAGTATTCCACTGGCAATCGAACAAGCACTACACATTATTCCGTCCCTTCTCTATACGCATTTTTTGGACAGCAGTCCGGAAACTCCCTTTGGCAACGCTGCCGTCTGTCTTAGCTGATGTGCTCGCAGGCTCATTCAAAAAAGCTCTGCTTGCGGCTGCGCAGCGGTAAGGAATGGAGAAGTTGCGGCCAGTATGCTTTGACTAAGTATGGGATTAGCTAGTGGACTGTCATTGCATAAGCCAACCTATGCTAGGTTTGTGTGCTTCTCCATGATCTTAAAGCGCACTATGGGTGGTGCCGTAGGGCTGTTGTCCTGGTGTTTCCGCATAACGTTGTGCAGAGCAGGCATTGATGAACTGCGCTGTGGAGAGCGCCGCCGGATTTTTCCCTACATACTTCGGTGAGGGCAGACAGAAGGGGGGGTGTGCTTCTTGTTCCACCTAGAGGGCACAAAATCCGCTACTTGCCAGTACCCCAAGACATGACAATCAGAATAGGTTTGCACTGTAACAGGTGAAGGGCCTAGAAATGGACGCCATGTGACGCGTGATGTGTCGATAAATTAATTCGTGTGGTCTAAGCAAATGCCTCATGGGGTCTGGCTTGCTATTCCAATGAGAGCATAGTTTATGCTTTATGGTTATCGATGCGTATATATTGCAATAGTCTTGTCGTGCACATATGTATTACGGCTAGCATGACACAGTATGACGCCTCCATATTAATCACAAAGACATCATGCTCCGTTTGATATGATCCGTTTGATATGGCTGCAGGCACTCATTCGCGACAATTGCAGCCACTTCAAACCCCCCCGTGCCACTGCCCGTTGCACAGGTTCGAAACATTTAGTTAAACAGCCATAATTATTCAGGGCATCACTGCACGCAGGAGAACTTACACGTCCCCACAATTGCCAAAATATCGCTTGCTTGGCGCCAAGGAACTTAGCACCTTAAATATTGTCGTAAAGCACTCAACAGTTCCAGACAAATAATCCGTCGTCGTTAGTTCCCTGTGTCGCCATCGTAGACGGTGCAATACGGCTGTTCTAATCGAGTCTGGCCTAAGGTCTGGCTGTCTGCGTTATTCAGGCTGTAATGCGACATACATCCTCAAAAATGCTTCTGGAGACATATGCAAAGGCCGGCGCTTTGGTCATCAAAGAAGGCCTCCGGAATTTTAAGGTCTAACCGTTGAGAGCTGAAATGCTAAAATGAGTTTGTTTCCTTGCGGGAAGGTTTGCGTGTGTATTTAAGTGATACACGATAGCGCTTCCTGTTAATTCGTGTATTTGCTTATTTGCGCTAGATTTTGAATATAAACGTTATTATAAAAGCCAACAATTTACGTTGTTAGCTTCAATAGTTTACGGGGGATGCATTTGCTGTACGACGGGGTCTGCTTGCTGCACGGAGCTACAAACGAAACAATCCCTGTTTAAAATGTGTTAAGGTCAAATTGCGGAGCCAATCAAATTATTGACTACGTCTTTCTACAGGGATAACACTTGATAAATCCGCTACTTAATCAGGCCAATGCCATGCTCTGGCTTTTCCACTCCACTTAGTAGCACATCTAGTAGATGAAGCAAATGTTGTACACACCACAACACGTGGCATCTTTCATTTTTTTTTGAGGCCTTTGGTGCTTCTCTTTCTGAGGAAGTTGCCCTTAGGTTCCTTCACGCCGACCCGTTTGTTGTGCCTCAGCTTCCACAGCTTCCTTCCAGATGTAGCGGGCAAGCATTCTGGAGGCACCTCATCTGGATGCTTTGGCATTTTCGCCAGTTGTGACTGTCGCGTTATCTTCTCCCGCCATGCCTTCCGCTTACCATTTGAAGTGCCACGTGCCCTGAAACAGCCAGGTCGCAGAAACGCATTCAGCCATGCTAAGTGGTTTAAACGTAATATCCAGCCCGCCACACACTGCACGGGGATGTGCTTGGAAGCATTACGTTTTCGTGAATGGCCTACACTGCTGCTTTAAAAGACTTGAGGGGATCTGTGATAGGGCGGCGACGAGAACTCCCGTGATACCCTTTTGCAACTGGTGTTGCAGCTGTTTGCTGTTGGATCGCGAGTTGGACAGCTGTCATCTGAAGAAACACAGATGCAGACAGCAAGCATCAAAGCGCTTCTGTAGATTCCTTTGAGCCACCCTATTGTTCTGCGGGGTTGGTGAAATGTGGGGGAAATTCGCATCGACAGCATAGGAAGGAGACTCTGTGCAGTGGTGCGTGACTGCAAATTCTACAAGCAAGAACTAAGTTCCTCTCCCTGAAGTAAGCAAGGTGACTAATGGAGCTTCTGGTTGCCTGATAACCCACTTGCGTTGGGCGTGTCTGCGACAGAAGGTAATCAGGCAGATGCCCCAACGTGCCCTTTGAAACATTCATCTCCTGAAACGGGAAGCAGAAGGCAAGGCAGTATTTTTGAGAAGTGCCTTACGTTGCCGTGTGCGACACACAAATCCCTGTTCTGTACAAACCATGCCGGCAGCTACAGGCTAAGGCCGGTTGCTGCCCTGCAGGGTTTCTTGCGAAGCAACAAACAAACTGGTGAATGCTTGAGGACATTGTATGAACTTGTGCATTATCGTAATGAAGAATTCGCTATACCTTGAGTTGTTTGCACGCCCTCTTCAACACCTCTCTATCTCGAGGATTTCTCTCAAAAAATTCCTTGAGCTTCCTTGAGTTCAACAACTGCTGCTGCAAATCTCGTGCAACAGCCGCGGCAATGATACGTTTTGTGATGCCTCGCCTCACATCTTCAACTCTGTAGCGGAAGCATTCGACATCTTGCAGCTTCAGCGACAGCGGTGTAAGTGCTGAACAACAAATCAGAGGCACAGAGTTACTTCTCATAAACTGTCGACGGCATGCACACGCAGCAGCTTGCGAGTGCTCATGGTTAGTAGATCTAATGAAACCTAACAAACAAAAACGAGCAGAACCATAGAAGATATCGATTCTAACATCGCATTTCTGAAACGTGTGCAATACTCCACTAAATAGGCTTACTGCTATCGGCTAGCCCTCCTGGAGCTTTTCGCATTGTAAACATTTGCTGGAGAAGCAACTGCTCCTGTTCCTGAGACGCGTCAATGAGAGTGACTGCAACTCCCGTAGAACCTCCGCGACCTGTCCGGCCAATTCTGCAAATCATTGCAACAAACAAAGTCGGCAAGCATGAAAAAGCTCCTTCATAAAACTTGGGAAGCAGGTGCCGGTGAGGACAATATTCACTCAAAATCCGATGGATAGAAAGCAAACGCAGTCTGATTGGGGGCAGCAGTAATAGCTAACAGAGCCCATTCGCTGGCAATCGGGTGGAACACCCTCCAAAACGTGCACGAAATAAACGAGCGTGCCCTCTTACCGGTGAATATATGACTTCAAGCAGTTCGGAGCATCGAAGTTAAACACACACGCGACGCCCTGCAGGTCGAGACCTCTATGCCCAGCGAACTCCGTTTCCTTGGTCTGTAACCACAGCCAGCAAGACTCCTTTAAGCTCTGTTTATGTGCTCAAACACGAAATTGTATCATTGATGAAGTTGCAACACACACATGGAAGGGTAGGCACCACACGGTCGTCCCCAAATATCAACGAATCGGCAAACGGGGCTAAACTGCACTCCTGCTGCATGGAGAGACTCTGCTACACAACCCTGTAAAGTTACGAAGAAAAGCTTCGAAAACTGTGCTGCGCCAGATAAAGACAAATTTAAGTGCAATGTTGACCTTGGTTGCGTCGTCTCGCCGTCGTTTTCGTGTTTGTCCATTACTCGCTGATGCCTCAGCAGCTTCCGAATCCTCAAATTCTTGAGGGTTGCCTTCTTCCATGCACTGCCCGTCATTCGTAATAAGAATGTCAATGAGGCCCTGGTTGAACGCCTGAAGAAAGGAGACCAGCCTAAACAGCGAACGGCTCACTCTATGTCGAAAAGCGATGTGCATATAAGATGTGAAGTACGTACGATTCCTGAAGTATATGTAGCTAAAAACAGCAATATATTAGCACGGAAGCAAATTTCATTACCGCGTGTTACAAAAGCGTCACTGTGTGAGCAGCACTGCCGATGTACCAACCGATACACAATATGCGCCTCAAACGAAGCGCACATATTCATGTTGATAGCAAACGGAGAATTGCTGACCTGAATCTGCTGCTCTCGAGCCGCTATTGGCAATGTCGGACTTAAGACACCGCTCGCTATTCCAAATCGGTCAAGGAAGAGGCGTAACGCGTACACGCTGTGGTGCGCAAAAGCAAAACACCCATCTACGATGTAATGCGTAGGGAAAACACCAAAAATGCAGCAGACCGAAGTTCAGCGCAGCTAAGCAGACTCCGCTTCACACTGTTGCATATTTCGTGACAGTTCAGGTAATACAAGAATAATCAATTAGTTTGAGAGATAAACAAAAACGCATATCCGTGTTGCCTACACGTTGCTCACTTTTAACAGCATGGAGTGGTGAACGATTCTACGGCACACCATGGCTTCGCAATTATGAATAAATGAAGATACTTTCAAGACTTGCTATCGCTAAATATAATCATGCCCATCTGCTAGGAAGCAAGCATTCGTAAACCTACTTTGAGACATCTTTGCAGAAGACTAAACACTTCAGAGGGACGAGACCGAGACGAAGAAATGCATAAGCCACAAGCCACTTCTCTGCATCTGTTGGGACTTGGAAATAGAACTCGCCAATGGGGCTTCCTCCTCCGGCGCCTGTTCCTTCTTCTTCCTCAATTCGAATAATTAACGGCTTGTGCAACATCAAATTCTGTAGCTGCGAAAGCTGCAGCAAAATGCAGGCCAAACGCGTAACCCCATTACATTAGTCTTACACCATAGACCCTAATCCCGCCGAAAGCAACTAACCTCTTGATTTTGGGTAGCAGAGACTAGGATGGTTTGGTAGTGGCCTGCTGCTGTTGATGGCAAGAGCTGAAGAAGCTTCTTCGTATCCTTTTCGAAGCCAAAGGCAAACAGCAGGTCGGCCTCATCGACAACCAACATCTCCAAGAACAACTGAATATCAAACCGCTGGTGCTGCTGCCGCAAACTGCTTAGGTAGTGCAAGACACCCGTCGGGGTCCCCACCAGCACCGTAGGAGGTCCTAAGAGCTTTCCCGAAACCCCTGTCGGGCTGGCCGTATGGCATACGGTTACGACATCTTTGGTATACTTGAGCAGATCGGTTAGGACGTCATAAACCTGCATAAAGATAACGGGAAGGCAAACCTGAATGAGTCGCGAAGAAAGATTTTAGACACTAGACGGAAGGCATGAGAAGGCTACATAAGCGTTCTACACAATGCTAGTATTGCTGGTACACTGCATCTTTACTAGTTCTCCAAGTATTCGATGGTGCAACCACAAAGTATTTACTTGCTTTTCTACCACAATAGCACACTACATATGCAAATTTGTCGTTCTGCTCGAGAAAGTAGGGGCATCAGACTAATGCCGCTGTATATAGGAAGCCCATGAAATACCCCCGTCAAAACTACTTCCATGAGCTCCTTGCTTCACTGCTCTTACAGTACAAAGACTACCTCACTTTGAAAACACTTAAGGATTAGATCACCTCTTATCATGCTATCTCTTGTACTGATCTTAGCATCGTCGGGCTTATCTCCACTACCTCTTCTTAATTGTATTTTCTCCCGATGACTTGGCTATCTAGGCTAGTTGCTACCGGTGTGTAATGCTTGCCCACCTGAATACAGAGCTCCTTTGTTGGCACCAAGACCAGTGCACACAGAGGTGGAAGCTCGGCATTCTCCCCTCTCTGCACCTGCTGCTGCTGCAGCTGCAACAGCCGCTGCAGCAACGGTAACAGGTAGGCCAGCGTCTTCCCGCTGCCAGTCCTCCCCTCAACTAACAAATCTCTGCCGCTGAGAGCCAAAGGTATCACCTATCAGACACAAAAAAGCAGCAAGCAACACTCATGATTCAAAAGTGTGTGAATAGCAGAGCACGCAATTTTCGAATCCCAACTGCACAGGCACATACATGCACGCTTGCAACATTAGAGAAGTGCAACCCCAACAGCAGCAAGCAGCAACGGAATCACGGGGTGGAAGCCACTGCGACACCATTCGCAGAAATAAGTGCTACTCCAGCAGCAGTACCACTAATAACACATTCTGACAACAACAGCATCATTAGCATCGACGAGGACATAAGCAGCAGCCGCTCGATCAGCACCAATAACACTAAACAACAGCTGCAAAGCCTGCAAGTACAAGTGCTGAAGCAGCATTGGCAAAAACTACAGAAGCAGCTGTATCACCTTAGACTGGACGTGTGTTGGATGCTGCAGCTTGAGGTCATCAATAAGGGCCTTGGACAGCCTCCTGTCTAAATGCGTTGCTGCGAAGTCCTTAAATGTCTGGGACGAGTCAATTATTTCGGCCTGTCTATACACCTTAACTTCGGAGTCCATCCCATTTTCTGCTGGTGCCTCTGAGCCTGTTGCTTCTGTCTCTGCCTCTGCACTGGCTGCGAAGTCTTCATCTCCTGTTGCTGTTTCTGTTGCGTTGCTGGATGCTGCTGCAAGTGAGCTCTCATGAGTAGTATCCTCTGCATATCTCCCTGCTTTCTCTGCAGTTTCTGCACGATGTTTCCTTGGCCTCTTACTTTTGGGTGGCAGTTTCTCACCATCTACTTCAGCGAGTTTATGCATCCCGCCGTCCTCAGAAACCGCATCTACACCTTCCGCAGGTGATACAATCTCCTCCTCCGAGTCTTCCGAAGATATTTTTCTTTCTTTCAGATATTTCTTCTTGATGGCGTCTTTCTTACGAACTGGAGTGTGGCTATGCTTAGGCGCGGGCGCTTCAGACGCCTTAGCAGTCGTCATAGCGCCAGAAAGAACATTCCAGCAGAAAAGACCCCCTTTAAATGGTGTATTTACCGCCTTTGAAAACTAAGTCCGAAGCAGTTGGTTGCCACCTTCAAATGTAGAGCCGACGAAGGCTGAGTAGCAGTTTGTCATGCAGCCACTGGAATACTAAAGAACCATTAGCGCTTGAACCATTACTAAAGCCGCCATGGAAGGGTAATAATAAATAATAAAATCAACAATTATTCGTACCTACAATAAAGTAGATCTCCACTGCTGACCGGGTTGAAACACCTCAACCTGCATGCGTGCCGAGCCATGAGCAAAGCGGCCCCACAAGACCTTCTCCCTACGGGGACCGGTGTCAGTCTGTAGATGCGGTTGCAAACAAATCCTAAAAACTTCATCCTCTTTAAATTGAGTAAATTTGGAGCACTACACTCCGGAAGCCACTGCTGTCATTGTAGTTCTAACTAACACCGGAGGTACCACAACCTGCCCAATCCCGATGGCCCATCCAGCGTACCAAAGTTAGCAAATACAATCCTAAACAACTCCGCTACACTACCACTGCACCTCTACGTGAAGTATCGTGCACATTCTATATTCCATTGGAATTTTTGATGCTTTCCAACTATTTCCTCCCAAAACCGATAACTGTTTCAAGCCGAGCACCTGCCCGTGTAAGTCCTTGTAAAAAAAAGGAGCGCCAAATTGAAGACGAACCTCAGCTGGCGACGAACTAAAACCCCTCACAATTCAGTAAACCCCTTTGCGCCCAGCTCCGTTTACCTGGTATGCTCGTGCATCTGGACTGGCCAACAAGGATGCATGAGGAGGTTCCAGATACGTTTGTATCTGCACAAGGAAACTGCATAGATGCCGCAGTTACTTCTGAATGCTGACTAGAATGTACCTAAGGGTAAGTAATGGCCTATGAACGAAGGCTGCATCTGGGTTACAGTTATTTCCCTTGCAGTGGCAATAAGAGGCTTTCAGACAAACGCCATGAGGAATCAACAAGGCAATGGAGGGCAAAAACTGCTCTCCCGCCTCTCATCCTCGTCATCGTTTCATCAAGCCAAGTAGGCACGCGCATGCATCCAACACAAGGAAAGATGGCATCAGTGTAACTATGACAAGCTGCCCTCAGCTAGTATGGGATCGGTAACGCAGCGCCAAAACGGAACAACGCACCATATCCCTCAGGAAGCAAAAGATTGCATCATCTTGCCCGAAAAAGCACAGCGCATACAAAAAATGAATATAGAATTATGTTCTCATGCGGATACGCACCGATGCCATTGGGGAGTATTCGCGTCAGACAAATGCCTTCTAGATAATCAGATGCGACGCACGGGGCAAAAACTGCCTCTGCGACGCTCATCCTCGTCATCGTCTCATCACGCGGTTTGGCAAATGGATAATTTTAACAGGAAAATGTCACCAACAGTAACATGCAATAAAATGCAGACACAACACATACTCCGAAAAGACGTGCACAAAGCTTATAGAACGAGAGCTCCCAATCAGAAAAAATTGGCTCTGTAATCGTCAATACCACCAGAGGTGGCTTCAGGCCTATCATTGGGGTCATCATACAAGCTCTCAACTGAATCACGCAAGGGGAACGAGAGCAATAAAAGCACTTTGCCAATGTTCACTACTCATTAGCGAAGATATAGAATATGTGGATGATGAACTGAACAGCTGTTGGAACAAAAACGCCTGATAGTGCACAGCATACAGCATTATCACACAGAACGTAAGCAGGGAGGTTGAAGTCAGAGAATCAAATGCAAACCCGAAAGACGGTAAACAGCACTGAGAAGATAGTACTGCAGTGCAGTTGTTGGGAAGAAAAATATTTGGCATGAGTAAGACTTAAGAATACACCTAAGTTTGCACCAATCAAGTGATCCCCCCCTCACGGTTTAAAAGCCCTTAACAACGCAGCTACACGAGCACGACCGGCGCAATGAATGCACTGCACCTGACCGAGAACTCAGTAGTAGCTGCCTTAACATCCTGTCCATTTGAACCCCGTCGAAGTGATATGCATGCTGCCTCACAGCAGCAGCTAAGCAGAAGCTGATGCGGCAGCAGGCTTGGTAAACACATAGTGGGAATGGTGTGTTTCACCAAGAGGCCTAATCAGCCCCTTGCTATACAACTCCCGGATTCCCCTGCGAGCTAACGAAGCGTTGATGCGTAGCCTTTCACAAATTGTGTACGGCGTCACCAACTTCATCTTGGGCACCTCTGCCATGAACTTGTCCAAAGTTGCCTGGTCGAACATGACAGCGTAGTTCAGCTTGTCCTTGCTCTTCCCCTTGGACCACTTCTGCAGGAACCAATACAGAAAGTAACACTCGAAACAAGCTAGAAGGTATGCTTGCTCAAATACATGCATAAAGCAGCCGCAGAACGAGCAAGCCAAGCAATCAAGCCGATTAACACAGATGAGCAGCTGAGCCAATAAAGTCTTAGCAATATGAAGCAAAACAAGTCATCAATTAGAGGTGATTGAACAAGAAAAGATAAAACGGCCTACCTTCTTGTTTTTCTTGCTGCCGGCGGCCGCGGCCGCGGCAATCTGCTCCTTAGTCTTCTTTTCCTTCGGCGCCATCCTGCTAAGGCGACGCACAGAAGACAGCGGAAAGAACACAAATAAATTTCATGAGTTAAAAAATGGATGGTAAAGTATGCTGCGCAGCGCCACGACCTTGCTCTGGAGCACAGAAAGTGGGGCTACCGCCGTCTCGAACGCTCAAGAACTGGAGACAATGAAGGTCCTCCCACGGTGGTCAAAACGCACCATAATGCATCGCAAAACGTATTTAACCGAAATAAACACAAAACACAGGACGCTGAAGTTGCTGAAAGGTACAAAGTGCGAAGTCTGTCGGTGGCCCCACCGTATCCCCGAAGCAAAACCCCTGAAAAACCTACTGCCGAACCCGTCATTTCAAGAGCTCACCTGTTATTATCCTCTAGTTGGAAACCAAATAGGAAAAGATACTACGGCTGACCAAACATGAGAGCAGGCAAATGTGGTACCCACCCTCATGCGGCTGCCGCGGAACAGAACTGCGCCCCGCAAGAACGCGGCCGCTGAAACAAACAGCCCTGTGTTCACCCAGCGCCCGCATTACGTATCGTCGCCATCTCATACCGACACCCCTATATATAATATAATGAAAAAGAGAACAAAGTAGTTGGTGTATCTTGTAGGGAATCCTTAAGATATATACATATAGACGCTAATTCCATTTGCTCGGATACGCAAGGCAACGCAGACAGGTTGATAAAGCCCCCATATTGGCGCCCATCTAATTGGCGCCAACCACACATTTACGTAAGCAATTAGGCCCCTTTTGTCTCCCTTTTTTTTGACTGTTATGTACTATGTTTTCTTCCATGTCTGTCCCCCGTGTACGCCCTCGATCGATTAATTTTCTTCTGTTCCGCCGATTTTGATCAGTGTGTAACGAGGCTAGTGGGTCTTTTCCACGGAGCCTTCAGTAGGAAGACTACAGTAAAGTACTTTAGACAATGCATTATGCTTTTTTCTTCAACCGACTCTTCACGCTTTAGGCGCAAAGCTGCCCGATTGCCTATAACCTTAGACGGCTCTATTTGAGGTGCAACGAACCTTGCTGCAGAACAGCCCATTATGCAACTATAACCGAGATCTGTTTGTAGGCTGCACCAACAGCAACTGTAACCGAGATCTCTTTGTAGGCTGCACCAACAGTACAGTCAATTGTTGAATCTTGCTGCGTGGCCGCAGGTTGCCTAGTGAGCACGTGTAAGTAAGTTGTCTACGTTGCATGTTTGGTGATAGATGTACCTCGTCGTCCGCAAGCATCGTAATCGCTCGAGTGACCACGAATCCGCTGAATGTAGTTGGACAGCTTGGCTACTTTCCGTTTGGCTTCTCAGTAGTGGCGTTCTGCTGGTGTTCCTGCTGCTCCCTCACTTCTTTTTCGAGCAGCATGCCTCCCAGGGTCGAACCAATGGGTTTCTTGTGGATTAGGGTGAATGCCTGGTACTTCTGCACCTATGTATTAGACGGCTTCGGGGTAATCCTTTTGAGGCGCTCATATCGCCTGTAGCATACTATGCGATGTTCACCTGCCTGCACGCACCAGGCGAAAGAACCTTCAATAGGCACTAGTATGCTACCCGCACGCAAGCCAAATCCTTTGTCAGCATTTATCTATAGTAGTAGTGCATACAGCAAAGAAGGCTTGTTCGTGTGTGCACGCCGTCCTATGTTGCACGTGGGTTGCACGAAGCTGCACTGCAACTTACGACGGGCAGCCAATTCA